CCTTCATCCTGGAGGGTTTTCCTGGATTTCAATTCCCCTCTTTCATCTAAAATGTTTTTATATGTTATGATCTTATCTAATTGGATAAATTTTGGATGTACATGCATTTCTAACGATGAGATCCAACTAGGTACTTGGGTATAATTTGGTTGCCAGATTTTTGCCCATACGTCGATAAGAGCTTGTCTAATATAGTGCCTTCGAAATTATTTGTGTATTTTATATTTATGATCCCATAATATAGCATGCCATCCTATTTGGCTGCCCCAGGTTCTTAATGGTCCAAGATTTCCTCTTGGAAAATCAGCTCTGTGTTTTGGACATAGTTGTGAAGTTTCCTGTGCCATCAAAAACACAGGAACCTTTGCCAGTTAAATACATCTCTGTGTATACCCATGTTTGCCTTTCATAATATCATTTTTAATTGTATTTTTGCTTCTTCTTTTTTTGCTATGATTCCAGTGGCTTTTCAAAAAAAAAACAATTTCTTGTAATTTTATTATAATTTTGAATGCTTCAGCATTGGACATCATTGTGAGTTTCCGAAAGCATATTAAAACAAATATAAAATGTGCATGCCAATTTTATTTTTTTTATTTTTTTGCCATTTGGACCTCTCTCTCTCATTTTCTATCTCCTGCACATCTAGCCAGTTTCTCATTCTCAAATGACAAGTTCTAACTTTGCTCCATCAAACATTTATATTCTTAATGACTGTTCATGAATTCATGTACGTTTCCCGAGATTATGTCGTTTGCATGACTAAGCAGCAAAGTTATTGTGTGCTTCTCCCGTTTGTCTGCTGCTGGATCTGTTTAATTTCTGCAGGAAATAAAAGAGCATTTGCAATGCACACAGCATAAAACTGTTTTATTTTAACGTTTTAATTAGTCTCTGCCAAAAGAACCAAATCATTTCAACAGTTTGGATTCAAAACCATTAGGAAAATTATGTTCCTTAGAAACAACAAGCAGAAACAGAGTGACACTTTGGAGGAAAATAGCCGGAATGTAAAAAACAACAACAAGTATTTGGAATAAGTAGCTGGAACAAGTAGGTAAAATACTGGTTTCAGTAACAGAATAACATAATAGATAACAGTAACAGTAATAATAACAGTAACAGAATAACAGAGTTAGAAGGGACCTTGGAGGTCTTCTAGTCCAACCCCCTGCTCAAGCAGGAGACCCTATACCATTACAGACAAATGGCTGTCCAATTTCTTCTTAAAAGCCTCCAGTGATGGAGCACCCACAACTTCTGGAGGCAAACTGTTCCTCTAGTTAATTTTTCTGACTGTCAGGAAAATGCTTCTCTCCTTGATTAGTTTCCATCCATTGCTTCTAGTCCTGCCTTCTGATACTTTGGAGAATAGGTTGACCCCCTCTTCCTTGTGACAGTCCCTCAAATATTGGAACACTGCTATTATAACACCCCTAGTCCTTCTTTTCATTAAACTACTAGGCATACCCAGTTCCTGCATCCAGGCCCCTAATCATCTTTGTTGCTCTTCTTTGCACTCTTTCTAGAGTCTCAGCATCTTTTTTAATATCACGGCGACCCAAAAAAAAATCATCATCATCATCATCATCATCATCATCTTTTTTTTTCCAGTATACAAATGTATAAGATGTTGAACTGCCATTTTGGGTTTCTTAGTAGCCAACCAGCTGAATATGAGATAATACAGATACTATTTCAGCTGATGATCAATAACAATTGATATTCAGCTGTATAGTCTTCTGCTGGAATATAATCTTATCCTTCATTGATTGGTCTATGGCCGTAATTCTATCTTGTGGTAGTAAATTTCATTTGGGATGAATGAGGCTGAGTTTCTTTGCGCTCTCTAGTCTTCTCAGTGGGGTTATTCCTTCCTTCCTTCCTTCCTTCCTTCCTTCCTTCCTTCCTTCCTTCCTTCCTTCCT